TTTAACAGCAGACTAATTTGCTTCTTTCCTTTAATTAATAGGTTCCCTGGAGGGTTTGATAGATCATTAACTGCCTGACCCCAGAGGAAGGCTTGAGTGAGGGGACCGTGTGGGAGGAGCTGAATTGCCAACTTTAGGAGCCACTGCCAAAGTAAACTGCACCAAACCCAGAGGGGACACAGAACCAGGGTTTTAAAGACATATGTCGGTTCCCCCCACGTGGCTTTCTAGGAATTGCTTTATTGAGAGAGAGAGAGAGAGAGAGAGAGAGAGAGAGAGAGAGAGAGGTGGGGGGAGGGAGAGGGAGGGAGGGAGAGAGAGAGCAGGAGAGAGAGAAACACTTGTCAGTCTTCATAGGATACCCAGCTGTGGGTCAGCAGAACCCCAGAGCCCCACCCTGGAGTGGGATGGGCTTTAGGAGACACGTAGACCCAGTGAACAACCAGGCCAACTCACTGTGCAAAACACTCTATTAACTGGTAAGTGGGAGAAATGCAGAAATGACCAAGTTGAGAAAAGTTTTAGGTCGTGGCTCCATCCAAGGAAGAGAGACATGAATTAATTACCTTACAAAGAGCTGGGGGCAGGTCTTCCTCTGCCTGCCAGGTCACACCACACAGATGCAGACTGCCCTCTAGTGGAAAAGAGGGAGAACCAGGGATGTGCTGAAAAGTTAAATCTGCTTTATCTGGCCAGTGCATCTGATGGTCAGTAATCTGGGGGATCAAATATTAGAGTTCCCAGAGTTTTGACACAAGACTGAGTTTGTTACCATGACTACAGGAGTATCACAAAACCACTGTGAGGCAAATTATAAACATATTAAGATAAATTCCTCCTACCCCCCCAAACTGTATCCTGCCACAGGGTAAACTGGGTCTAGGACAGACAGAAGGGCAGTTCACACCTGCCACCAAGGTACAGGAGAGAAATGTCGACTCCGTGGTGCATTGTGGGAGCTGTGCAGGGTGGCAAATCCCTCACAGAATGTCTTCCGACTTGATGTTTTATAGCCTGTGTTTTTTGACACATGTTCGTTCATAAGGACTGGAAATGGGTTTATTGCAGTAGCCAAGGAAAGCAGAGTTGGCCGGGTCTTTATGGAAAGAGCCTAAGGAACTATAAAACCCAAACCCCAATGAAATCCCACTGTTCATACACTGAGGTGTGGTTGAGGGCTGTGTTTTAGTTTGTCTATGTTTGGGGCCAAGTTTGTGGTTCCTATTTGATGTGCCAGTGTGCGTGTAAGGTCCAGGCAGTGCAGCCGGTGAAGGGTGTGTGTGTGTGTGTGTGTGTGTGTGTGTGTGTGTGTGTGTGTGTGTGTGTGTTGGGGCGAGCAGATGCTCTGTTGAAGGTCAACCCTCCTCTGCTTATTAGCTGTGTGATCACTGTGTGGAAGGGTGTGTGTGTGTGTGTGTGTGTGTGTGTATGTGTGACAAGCATCTGCTAGGGCCCAGATTTTGCCGAGGACACCCTGTGTTTAGAGTGCTTACATTCTTTTTGTACAACTGTAATGCTGTACTTCTGGATGACTCTTTAGAGACTCACACCACATCTGCTCCTAGTGGCAGACTTAGAAAACTTTAGTGTTGGGGCTGGGAAGTTGACACAGTGGGCCAAGTGCTTACGGGGGAAGCACATGACTTGAGTTCGGATCTCCAGCATCCACGTAAAAAGCCAGATGTGGTGGCACGCGCTTGTGCTCCCAGAGCTGAGGGGGTCGAGACAGAAGGATCCCAGGGGCTTGCCAGTCAGCTAGTCTAACCATTGGTGAGCTGAAGGTTCAGTGAGAGACTTGGTTTCCAAAGATAATGCAGAAAGCAATATCAGCCAGAAGCTGTCAACTTCTGGCCTAGCATGTGCATGTAGCAGTGCATGCTGTCTCCCACACTTGTACAAAACAAAACAAACAAAAAACATTAAAAGCAAGCAAGCAGGGTAGAAGAAACATAGTCCCCAAGAGTGCCGATTCCTTTAGATATAAGGTCTTTGGAGGATACCCTTCTGTAATCTGGAGACGGCTGCGTTGGTGCACACATACTCCTGAGAGGCACTCGGTGGCACTGCTCTATTAACTGACATCACGGTGGACCTCGGCAAGACTTTCCTCTTAGGCCCCTATACAGCAGTGACTGGGGATGTCGGAATTCAGGTTCCCAGTCACACTTGGCGCCTCACAGAGGACACAGCCCTCCCTCCCTCCTTTTTCTTCTCGCTTTAACTTGCGCATGATTTATCTACTGTATACCATTTGCCCAACTAAGTATTAACTAAATAATAAAGAGGTCTATAATTTGTACATTTGTGCCCAATTTATTATGCATTTATTTTTATATTATTAGCTCTTTCAATGAATATTTTTCTATTTTTGTTAAATAACAAAGCATCTCAATGATCTCCAGTCTGCTAACTGCAAAACAATTCTTCCTTTTCTCTCAGTTGTCGCCTTCTGTACAAAGTTCCTGGAGAGCAGTCCTGGCTGAGGGGTTCAGAGTGGGCGAGTGTCAGCTACCAGAGATGTGCCTTCTGTGGCACTCTGATGCTGCCATTCCTTCTTATGCTACTTAACAATTTAATTATTGTTAATATTTTTGCGTGTGTTTGTGTGTATGTCTGTGTGTATGTGTTTGTGGAGGCCAGAGGTTGATAGTGAGGATTCTTTTCTATCATTCTTATTTTTTCAGACAAGGTCTCTCACTAAATTTGGTACTCAGGGATTAGCTAGACTGACTGGCCAACGGGTTCCAGGGCACTTCCTGCCTCTCTGCTTCCCCCGCTCCACCCAGTGCTGGGGTAACAGACACTCACAGACACAGACACACCCTGCTTTTTCCATGGCCCTTGTGCTCACGTGGCCGGCACTTTACCCACTGAACCGTATTCCCAGCTTCCGACCAGTCCTTCTCACTGCGCTCAAACAACCCTTCTGAGAGTCCCTGTCTGAAGTGAGGCAAATCATAAGACATGATTTGTAAAGTTGCATTAACCCCAGGCATTCAAAATGAGGTCAGCGCTGGTCCTTACCACATTCTTTGGTGACTCAGATTTCTCTAGACAGCAATAGCATCATCACTCTTTCAGGGATCTGTGTTTCTTACATGCTGGGTTGTGTGGAACCCTTCCATGTTTAACAGCATCTCCAGACTGTTTTGGAAGCCGCTAAGTGCCTTCAAAGGATGGCTCTTACCAGGTTTCTATGACGTTAAAATCTCGGGGTGGACAGACTGCATTGAAAACAGACTGAAATCTGGGGCTCGGCCAGTGGCTGTGGGACCTCCACATACATTTCTCCCTGTAGTCATGCTCTGTGTTCCTCTGTCAAGAAGTTTGTTACTGTGCAAGGAAGAATCCTGAAAAAGAAAAGAAAAAAAAATACATTTCTGGTTGTAGATTATGCAACAATTAAGCGGAAACTGGATGTTTAAATTGCAGTTGGAATGGGAAATTAAATTATGAAAAAAGTTTCAGATTTGACAGGCTTTCATTCTGTTAATAAATTTATACATAATTCATTTTCTTGTAAGCTGTGACAAAACAGCACTAAACACTTTATTTGTAAGGCAGCAAATTTTTCTATTCTTAATTGGGAGGCAGGTAAAACCATTGAAATGCTTTTGGGTGACTGAGTATATAAATGTTTAAAACGAGAAGTTAATAGGCTCCAGGCAGGTTTGTTTATTTAATATTGTTACATTTATTTTCAGATGCGACCATAGTGCAGATGTGGCCCAAAGATTGCACCCAGCGTGGTGGAGATGTTTATTTATTTGCTTATTTGGTGTTTGTAGAGCCAGAACTTGAATGCAGGGCGCTGCACATGCTAGGCACTGACACACATTCCTGATGGGACTTTAAGAAAAAGATAGTAGCTCTCTGCCCTTGGATAAAAGCCCTCTGACACCCATCACCAGGCACTGTCCTAGTCACTTTACGAATGTCCCCCTCACTGTCATGATAGACCCAAGGCAGGTGCATTAGCCACATGTGGCCCAAGCACATAAGAAGTTAGCTGCCCTCGACCCATAGGCAGTATGGCAGAGAGATATTTGGGCTTTTTAGAATTTTCTCACTTCCACCTTCAGCTTCATGCCTTACCCCTCGGCTGAGCTTACCCTGCTCAACTGAGAGGCAACCTGTGCTATCAAGAAGGGGTGTCCTGCAGCAGGCGAGCAGAGGCGGGGCCCCAGGACGGCTTTGCTCTAGTAGCTAGCACTGCTGTGGCTGCTGTCGGCTGGAGCTGCTGAACTTAGCCTCTCTGGGGCCAAGGAGTCCATTTTCAGTAGGCGCAAGGACTCCTAGAAGCGGGCAGGGTCCAGGGGCAGCCACCCTGGGTGTGTTTACCCTTAGCTGCCTTCCCCTCTAGGAGACAAGCAGGCGGTACAGCTGTCAGAGGGACCGGTTGGGGCAGGTGGTCCTGAGCTGCTGGTGTCTGTGCACTGCCACCAGCAGATATGTTGATACTGGAGGACGTGGCTGCTTGTAGGATACTGATGGACTCACTGGGACAAATGGCCAGAAGGCTGTTTGTAGATCTACTGACCGCACTGGGCCCCTTCATTTCTCCCTTGGATACAACCACCCTGCCTGGCTTTTCACATTGGTTTTAGGGATGGAACTTAGGCCCTCAAGCTTGCAATGGCAAACACTTTATCTACTGAGATAGCTCCCCAGCCCAGAAATTGTTATTGTTTTTATTTTGCTGTGCAGTGGATGGCACCTTGATCTCATGCATGCTAGGCAGGCCCTGAGCCTCTAAGTTCCACCAGCCTCAAGGGAAATAGCTTCACGGCAGCATGACATGGTTCTTTTTATTTCCCTCCTCTGCAAGACTTTCTGTCTCTAGGAAAACGTATTTGGAATTAGTGTGGTACTAAGATGGACAGTTGGGAATTAATGCAGGACACCCAGCCCCTGCCCTGGGACCACTTGTTAAGAACAGGCTTGTAACTGGGAGTGCCTTTGGGAGTTCCTTAGCCAACATCTAATCTTTTGCCATTTAGGGAAATGATCGCCAGTCTAAGTCAACCGTTGGCTCCAGCGACAACTCATCCCCTCAGCCTCTAAAGAGGAAAGGGAAGAAGGATGCGAATTCAGAAAAACCCACGAGAGGAAAGCAGAGCGCAAAGTTGAAGAAGCCCCAGCAGGCACTCCCAGACAGTGGTGAGTCTGTCGCTGCATTGCTGTTGTTGTTATTGTCCTGAGGACGTGGCTCATTTTAATTCTTGAACTCATGGCAGTCGTGTCTCTTGGCTCACTGAATATACTCCTTTATCTCATGCAGGAGAAGTCACAGAGGAGATTGTTTTGCATATGAGAGAAACATCTGTTTCCCAGACTCAGTTTCCATTTGTGATTAGGTGTTGTGCCTTGAGAATCTTTGTTATGAAACCAAATAGTTTTTGAGGTAATCTTATTAAAAAATGTGTAATTTCCCATCCCCTGCATGCACACCAAGAGTGCCTGCTTGATACTCAGTTTTTTTAAGCACTGTGGACAGTGGAGTCTCCTGTTTGTGGGTCTGTATTTCTTGTCCACATTCATATGATCTGCTTGCTTATCTACTTCAGCTTTCCTGAAAGGATGTTCTGACAATTTCCCTGATACCGAGGTGAATACTAAACCCACGTGAACTTTGCCAGAACTATCTACGTGAGTTTAAGTTGGCACTACTAAGCAAGAGATGCTGTAAGATAATATTTAAAAAATTAGTGCTGAGCCAGGCTTGGCAGTGTGTGCCTGTCATCTCAACCCTTGGCGGGTGGAAGCAGGAGGATCAGGAGTTCAAGGCCAGCCTGGGCTATATAGTAAGTTTGAGGCCCTCTAGGTCTGAAAACAAAACCAAACCAAACAAAAGCATAAGCAAAACAGTTTGCATGGGCCTGAGGTTCCGTTAGTAGGAGAAAAAGATGCACCGAACTCAGGACACAGGCAATGGATGTGAACTTTCACTCTAGATTTTTGTGAGAAAGGGCTATCTTTGGTTTTATTCCAAGTGTATTCTCAGTAGAGTGGGCTCATTAAGACTGGAGAGATGCTAGATTGGGCAGCGACTGGCTGGAAATAAAATAGTGGAGTGACTGCATTTCTTCTTCACCCAGGGTCAGTCCACTTGGTGTGTGTGTGTGCTGTGGGCAAGGATGAAATGAGTCAGGTTTTGAGTCACAGCTAGCGCCTCGACCCCATGTGGGACTCCACCTCACTGCAGAGTAGACGGCTGGAGCGGCAGGCGACCACCACCCAGAGGACTCGGGAATCAGAAAGATGTGTGAGCTGAGGTTGACAGAGCAGGCTAGATGATCAGAACCTGGCTGGTGGTACACTCCTGCCATCTCGGCTGCTCAGATGGAGGCAGGAGGATCACAAGTTCAAGGCCAGGCCGGAAAACTTAGTGAGACCATGTAACCAAATAAAAAAAAGGAAGAGCTGAGGATGTAGCTCAGTGGTAGAGCGCCGGTCTAACATGCATGAGGACCTAGGTTCGAGCCTCAGGACTTCAAGGGAATAAAAATTGTGTTCCAGTTCCCTAGAGAAGGAGAGAGCATGGAGCTCCTGTTCTGGGGGTTTCAGTGGGCCATCTAAGGTCAGGCATCCTGAATTCTCATCCCAGGTCTGTTGCTGGTCTCGGGAACCCCGCTTTCTCCTTCGGGTCCTGCTGCCTCATGGTGCCCCTTCTACTGTGGGTTCATATTGTGCTTTGCTTGTCTTTAAGCCTGTGATGTCCTTTTCCAGTCACAGGGATTGAGGGGGTCAGGGTGGACACAGCTGGCAGAGAGTTGCCCAGTGCCTATTACGTAGAAGGAAGGAAAAGGAAACAGCTTAGAAGAACAGACCGTGTTTTGAAAACCAAAAATAATGGAGACTTTATTTCAGTCAACGTATATCACGTTTAAAAGCCCCCAGGACTATGGCTTATCAGTGCTCTTTCGTTCTGTTTTTATGAGATAAAGTTTTACTCCAGCTCAGGTTGGCCAGGAACTCATTATGCATCCCAGGCTGGTCTTGAACTCATGGCCATCTTCCTGCATCAACATCTTGAGTGTTGGGATTACAGATATGAGCCACCAAATCCAGCTTTTTTTTTCCTTTCAATATTTTGGTTTTAACTTTCAACATGAGCATAGGGCATAGGTCTAATAGATACAACACACTTAATAAATAAACAAACGATAGAATGAATGATGGAGATTAAAAATGGCTAAGTGTCTATTATGCTTTAAACTCCACCAAGAAACAGGTTCTATTTAAAGCTTTTCATATTGTGTTACAGGGAGAAGATAGTATTTGTCTTTGAGACTCTCACTAGCTTACAGAACCCCATCTCCTTTTTACAGTATATTTATATTTTAAGTCTTTTGTTAGTGGTCCCTGAGAAGAAGGGAACATTTAATTATCCTACAGTTATATTATTTGTGGGGACTCAAGAACTGATTGTATTAACACTGGTCTCCTTTTAGAGGAAAGCAGCCTTACTAGCAAATTGAACTATCAGTAGTTTGGCTTCTATGGAAGCCAAATTCCACAAATAGTTTTCAACAATAAATATTTGTGTCTGTGGGTGTGAAAATAGGAAAAGTATTTAATACCGAAGCAAGCTGTTCCTAAGATGTGCTGAGAAAAAGTGCTCCCCATGGTGGTCCATGAAGGTGAAAGATTCCCTCAGTGGCCCATGCCAGGCCTTGGGAGAATCCACGGCTGCCTCAGACACCTGCGAACCTAAGTGGGCGATTTTTACTGTGGCTTTGCAACGTGCGGGTCATAGGTCCTTGAACCCCCACCCCTCCCCCCGCAACTGTGGGCAATGTTCAAATGAAGTTTGAAGGACTGATTTTCCCTCCAAGCAATGCATGTTAGAGAATTTAAATAGATCATTTTGTGTTTTCTTTATTGTAATACAAAGAACATATAACTTGAAAAATGAACCTTGACTTCCAAAAAACAATTTTTTCCAGGAAAAAGGAAGAAAGAAAAAAAGCTCAGTTTGGTAGTTGAGGCTGTTACTTGGTAAATTTAAGTGTGTTACTCAAATCCACAGGACTAAAATATAAGCCGCTTCCTCCTAGAGGCCCCTCGAAGGATGCCTTGGCTGCAGAAAGAGTCCAGATTCCAGTGTCAGAAGTCTTCCCCTAATTCATCCTGGGCTTCCTCTTATTGTTGATTGTGGTTTTTACTTTAATGCCATCCATGGCAGTCACAGAGTCAAGTGTGTGCTTCTTTTTATTTAACCATACGCATGTGTGTATGTGCGTGGGAGTGCGTATGTGCAAGTGAGGGCCAGAGGCATTGGATCCCCTGGAACTGGAGTTACAGGCAGTTGTGAACTGCCTGATGTGGGTGCTGGCAACAAAAATCTGTCCTCTGCAAGAGCAGTGCGCACTCTTAGCTGCTGAACCACCTCTCCAGCCCCTTGAACGTGTGCTTCCTGATGCTCACATCTCTAGAGTGTGTCTGTTCTTTGGAAAGACAGAAGGACTAAGGACCTAAAGTAGAAGGAGCGTGTAGGATGCAAGAATCAAGGGATGAGCAAAATGGGGCTGGAGCTTTAGAGATGAGCTCTGCATGGCCTTTTCTGCTAAATATGTCAGTTTAAACACACACACACACACACGTGCGTGCACACACACATATAAATTCAATAAAGCCATTGGATTATATTTAAAAGTATTAAGTTTTGGGTTAGTGTAACTGTCTGTGGTTATTTCTAATGCTTGTTAAATTGTGTAAAATCCAGTGCTCTTCACTTGCATTCTGTTCTCATCTTGGTTTTAAAAAATATTTTATGTTAACTTTTTATTATATGTGTGTGTGTGAGTATGCACATGTGTGAAGTGCTCTTGAAGGGCATCGGATCCCCTGAGACTGGAGTTACAGGTGGTTGTGAGCCATCATGTAGGTGCTGGGAACTGAACTCAGGTCGTCTGGAAGAACAGCTAGTGCTCTTCACTGCTGAGCCGTCTCTCCAGCCCCTTCATCTTGTTTTTAAAAAAATATTATGTCTGTAGCCACACATTCCACCTTAAAAAAAGCGACCTTCTGATGTTCACGTGATCAGCTCTCGACGCCAGGCAGTGGACAGCAACATTGCTCTAGTTCTGTTTTTTTCTCCTCTCCACCTCCTTGATTCTGTTTCTCTCTGTAATAGTAAAGCTTAATAATTCAGGCAAGGCAGTGACCTATTTCTTCAGGGAAACAAATCCCATTTTTCTTTTGTAGCCAAGATGCAAAGTAAGATTGGTGTGTGATTGGTGAAGGTGAGTGTGAAACACGTTTTCAGTGCTGCCTTTGAACAGCGGCCTCAGTGAGCAGCGCACACGTCTCCCCTGCTGCCCAAGCTGCAGCGCCTGGAGAGATGGTCCAGAGGCATTAACTAGCTGCGTTTGCAGTGGAACAACGTCCTCATGACGATTCTTTTAAATGGCATTTTGGATGGTTGGTTATAGTCATTGCCATTATTAATATTGGATAAGTGGAAAAATTCAGAAAGTATAGGAGTTTAGTATAAAAACACCAGAAAGACTCTGCTCAGAACTGCTATGACTCACAGGGCGCCAAGCAGGATATGCACTGTAAAGGCAAAGTGTGAAATGGAAGACCAGGCTGGGTTTTCTCCAAGATCGCACATGCTGTGTGTGTGTGTGTGTGTCTGCATGCACGTATACACACACCTGCACTACACCTGGGAACCAGTATCTGTCTTTGTTTTTTCAGAGGTTTATTTATTTTTATTTTGTGTGTGCAAGTGTTTTGCCTGCATGTAAGTATACAATGTGTGTGTGATACCCTCAGAGGCCAGAAGAGGGTGTCTGATCCCCTGGAACTGGAATTTTAGACTTTTGTTAGCCTCTATATTATGGACACTGGGAACCAAATCCAGGTCCTCTACAAGAGCAGCTCTTAACCGCTGAACCGTCTCTCCAGCCCCCACCAGTGTCGTTCTAATGCAGCCTCTGGCTGGCTTGCTCCCGGAGTTGCTCTGTGAGCGTGCCCAGGGAATCGTGCATTTAGACTCCTGATGACTGGTTGGGAGCAGGTGCAGTGTTGGCAGGTGTGTGAATATCACGACCTTGCTGGGTGTGTCTGCCCTTGAGCAGATGCTACCTGTTACTTCTGAGCAGGGACCTTTTCTTTCTTTTCTTTTCTTTTCTTTCTTTCTTTCTTTCTTT